TCAGCGACTGCAGCGTGCTGATGATGTCGGTCTGGGTTATACTCGTCATCTGGCTGAGTAACCATGGAGTAACCCATGAGTAACCCTGGAGTAACCTCGGAGTAACCTCTGAGTAACAGCTGAGTAAGCTCAGTGTAACCTCAGAGTAACCCCTGAGTAACCCCTGAGTAACAGCTGAGTAACCTCGGAGTAACAGCTGAGTAACCTCGGAGTAACTTCTGAGTAACCTCGGAGTAACCTCGGAGTAATCTCGGAGTAACCTCTGAGTAACCTCTGAGTAACCCCTGAGTAACCTCGGAGTAACCTCTGAGTAACCTCTGAGAAACCTCGGAGTAACCTCTGAGTGACCCCTGAGTAACCTCGGAGTAACCTCAGAGTAACCCCTGAGTGACCCCTGACCACTTCCAGCCCACAGTGCACTCCACTGCCTTTATCCGTACTGGTTTATACTGGTTTATACTGGTTTATACTGGTTTCTATGGATTTCTATGGGGATTTCTGGCTCTATACTGGTTTATACTGGTTTTTACTGGTTTGAACTGGTTTCTATGAACTTCCATGGATTTCTATGGGGATTTTTGGCTCTATACTGGTTTATACTGGTTTGAACTGGTTTTTACTGGTCCCACCTGAGATCCTTGATGGAGAGGGTCCCCCGGAAATCCCTGAGGATCTCCAGCAGCACCCAGGACCAGGGGGGGTCACTGGTTTATACTGGTTTGAACTGGTTTCTATGAACTTCCATGGATTTCTATGGGGATTTTTGGCTCTATACTGGTTTTTACTGGTTTGAACTGGTTTATACTGGTTTTTACTGGTCTCACCTGAGATCCTTGATGGAGAGGGTCCCCCAGAAATCCCTGAGGATCTCCAGCAGCACCCAGGACCAGGGGGGGTCACTGGTTTATACTGGTTTGAACTGGTTTCTATGAACTTCCATGGATTTCTATGGGGATTTTTGGCTCTATACTGGTTTATACTGGTTTATACTGGTTCCTATGGATTTCTATGGGGATGTTTGGCTCTATACTGGTTTATACTGGTTTGAACTGGTTTTTACTGGTCTCACCTGAGGTCCTTGATGGAGAGGGTCCCCCGGAAGTCCCTGAGGATCTCCAGCAGCACCCAGGACCAGTAGCTGCGGTAGCTGAGCTTGCCCAGGTCCGAGAGCGGCTTCTCCGGGGAGCCCACGGTGCTCTCCAGCTTG